AGAAATGCATTTATAACCAGAGTTAACTTAACCAGTGTATATTTTCTTCAGCCATGGATGTGTTTGAGAGAAATGGTTTTGAACTGAATAATTGCAAACATGCCAATGCTTCCGTCTTGTAGCTTAAGTTGCTTACTGGACCTCAGGTTCTCAAAGCCCTGGAACAGTCTCTAAGCAAATAGTCAAGATTTTGTTGCAGTAGCACAATTCAGCATTGAAATGGAAATCTCAATTTGTGTAAAAGAACTTGGAGGGACTGGAAAATGCAAGACCCCAGATTCAACCTGTGTGTGGTAACCAAAACACTGGTCAGAAAAAAAGGAACTGCTCAGCAAAACAAGATTTATCAGGCCTGAATCTCTCTCAGGATGACCACTGTAGCACTTGAGAAGTATACAAAAGTTGTTTGAAGATCATGTTGACCAGGGAGTACATGTTAATTATAATAAAATTACAAAATCGCAGATACAGCATTCCAAAAATGCTGGTAATGACAGAGAATCTGTGTCTGCATCCTTGGGGACCTTGCGGTTACTTGATTATTTCAATTGTTTAGAAGAGCAAGAAGTGGAAAGATGTATGAAAACATGAAGAAAATAATCTTTTGATTGGTGCCGCTGATTACAGGCTGCTTCAAATGGGGAGATTTGTTACCTCAACCTGATTATTAAACTTGGTTTTATCTATGAATTGTAAATACTCAGTTCTGCATGGATTTAGCCTGCTTGGTTTATAGGTATTATGCAATTAATACAGTTTTGCTTGGTCCATGTGGAATTGAATTATGTTGCTTAACAAAATAATATGCACTAGTGTATTTACATATTCATATGTGTGTTTTATTGCCATTTTTAAAAAAAAAAGTAATCAATTTTTAGAGGACTGTAATGTAATTCCATTAGCAGTAATTTGACTAGGTATTTAAATGCTTAAGTTAGTTATTTAGAATAATAATTAGGAAAAAAAACATAGTAAAGAAGACTTCATAAAGAGATGTTACTTGCTTTTTATTATTTAAGGCCCAGTGGTAGATTTGAGACCTGTTACCTTAGGCATTTTATATATATTTACTGCTAAAGCTGCTGTTACTTTTTCCAGACTCATTTTTAGTGTTGTCCTCTGAACTGAACAGGTATAAAAATAATTAAATACTTTCCTATTCTGGAAAGGGACTAAAATTTATGTATTATGCACTAGATTTCTTTTCATTTGCCCTTCTTAGGAAGGAAAAGTGGGAAGAGAGAAAGGAGGATAGGGAGGGTACTAAGGCAGTGTAGGAAGGAAATCCTTTTCAACAAGCCTGAGTCAACTTAGTGACTGGGGGAACTGTGTGCCTGGTACATCTCTATTACTAAAAAGTTTTAGCTGTTTCTGAGCTATACCTCTGCAAACCACTGGGTATTTTTTGATACTAAAGCTGTTTGTAGGTCATATTACCTAAGACTGTTAATGAAGTTGTAACTAGGCCCAGACTGAGCTGAGTACCATTGCATTCAGTGAGTCCTGTGTAAGACACCCAGTTGGATGAAAATAGCAGTTTGTACTTCTTGTGGTTGCTGAAAGAATTTTCAATATGAAAATGTAATAAGAAGTTACTGATGCCTTGAAATATCCTTAGATGAGCATCCTGTTCTGCTTACAGCCATTATTGGTCAACACATCCTGAGCCATTGTATGAACCGCTGCAATTTAGGCTGAGTTTGTAACCTTTAAATTATTACTGCTGAATTCGTGTGTGAATAGCAGCTTCTTAAAATAACAGTGGTGGAAAGTATGGCTGGCAAACTGAATTTATTAGTTTTTAAACTGGTTGCAGGCTGTGTTGACTGGGAAAGTCTGAGATGTGTGGGCAAATGATTGATTAAGTGTGTTCACGTGCTCTTCTCACAGGTTATCAGCTCTCAGATAGACCAGAAGAAGAAAGCGCCATCATGTTAATTTTGAGTCCATTATAAAGTCAAAATTGTAGTAGAAGGCAAGCATACCCTGGAAGTAGGAAGTATGTCTTAAGGCTTCTGAAGGGCTATTACAGGGTGAATAAGGAACTTTTTGCTGCAAGGTTGTGCCTTAACTAAGTGGTTTGCCTCCTAAAATAAATAAATGTATGCCACCCTAAATAGATCACAAATGATTCCTTGAGATTTTGATGAAAGAATTAATTTCTTTTTCTTTATGTTGTAGTAGCAAAGCTTTGAAACTACTCACTTGGAATGCTCTTTAGGGCTTGATCTCTCTCTGATTTTATTTTTTTTAATATTTAATTGTGTTATTCCTCAAAGACTGCCATGGCAGTGGTGAGGGGAAGAATGGGCAAAGGGTCAAGAGATATTAAACTTTAAAGGCAATTACAATTTTTGCTAATTATCATAGCAACAAAGGGGTAATGAATCCTGGTGGGAGGACGTTGGTGTGCACTCGCAGTGGTATCACTGAGCTGTGCTGTGACACTAGGCAGGTCATTCTGAGAGCTCAGCTCTCTTATTTTCTAATTATATGTTTTCAGAAAATAGTACTTAGTTAGAACAGCCTTGGGAATCTAACTAATGCTCTCTGCTTGGGTGGGCTTTTATGCATTTGTGAGTTCATTTTTGGTTTGTGTCCATGGAAGAACTCTGCCCACAGGTGGGCCATCAGAGCAGGGAATCAGCTGGACTGCCTTCATTGACATTCTTGGAGATGGAACAGCCCTGTCAAGCCCTTTTTCTTGCCATGATGGATAGTAGCTGCTCTAATTTGTTTGGTCCCAGTCCTGTGATTTGTCCCCTTATAAAGACCAGGTGAACTCCTGGGAGCAGAGGGAGACTCTTTGCCTGGAGGGGAGGTACTTATGAAAGAATAAACCCAGGGGTGCTTTGCTTTGTCACTTAGCTTGCCTGCTGTTGTTGGTACACTTGAAGAGTAGGAAAGGAAAGGCGAAGGGGTCACAGGTGCTTTGTGAGGGCAGCTGGGAGCCCTCAGCTCAGGTGGATGAGAAGAGGTTTTGCTGTGTGGAGTAGGATGTACATCAGCCTCGCAGAACAGAGAGGATAGCTGGAGCGCTGTTTGCCTCCTCTCGAAGCGTTACTCAGGTGGTGAAGATCTTCCTGAAAAGCAGTATGAAGCAGGAGGAGGGTTGAATACAACTTTTTTGCTTTTGGTCCCTCTTACACGGATTTTCAGCTCTACAGTTTAGAAAATTGTGGTTCTGTTTGTGTTTGTCAATTGCAAATCAAATGGAATTTGTTTCTTGATGAAGGCTGTGAGTCACTATGTTTTTGCAGGCAATCTCCCAGTATTTCAGATCACACATAAATTACTGCCCAAGATGTAGGAGATGCTCAATTAACATGAATTCATTGCTCCTTGCTAGTGTAGCTTATCAAAGGATGCTCAGCATTAATATCAGTGTGGCTGCAGTTGGTCGACTGTAGTATAGACAATAATTTTAAGGCAAAGAACAAACCTATGTACTCCAGTCTTTTTACCTTTTGCCTCTACTGGCATGAAAAACTTCTAGCTGTTGCTTAAAAATTGCAGGCATTGTTCTTCTGGATGTTTTCACTAAATTTTTTTGTCACATGGAAAAAACAATATATAAACAAAGTATGTTGTACTTTGTCTGAGTTTAATATACCATTTGATTAAGTTGAGTGCATAATAGCATCTACATTTAAAAAGGGAGCAAAAATCTAGTAACAGCATTAGCAGTGACTTCTGTATCTCATAAGAGGTTTCTTGTGCTGATGGTAAGTCAGGGAAAGAATGCAAGAAAAAGTCCTTGTGTTGCATGCATGTTGTTTTTGAAAGAGTTGGAAACAGAATTTAAAGAAATAAATTCTCCAAAGGGTTAGATAGGTGCAAGTGGTGAGTAGGAATAAGAGGTGACATCTGTTGTGGTGGGAACTTTAAAGAATTAGAAGGAACCTAAAAAAATATCATTTGAACTGAAGTTAAGAAGGGCTTTTACTAGTTTAATGCATACTACTGTCATATTTCTCTACTTTCTATACAGCAGATTGCTATGCAGAGATCTCCCAGACAGCTCAATGCTTTGGGATGATAAAGCACTGGCCTGTTTCACTCTGATTTGTTGTGTTACATTAGTGTTGGGAGCATGTGCAGTGCTTAGGGCGCCAGCATCCATCCCATGCAGTATATAATGACTTTCACTTGCCTGTGGGTGCACTGCAAAATTGAGCCCTGCAGTACTGCTTGTTGATCAGCAAACAAAATGCCAGCTGGAGAAGGCATTGTATTAGCTTTGGTTCAGTGTTGGTGACTGTGGAGAAAATCAGTGTATTACCACATCAAAAGAAATGACCATAAAGTAAAATACACACGGGAAGAAGATGGAGAGTTATCCCGTGTGTAAACCTGCATTATCTGTCTGTGGTTAAGACTTGGCAAACAAATGGTAATGGGGACCTAAGCAGCTACACTTCAGAGTCAGGTATCTTCTCTGTCTGTATAAGCCTTTGCCACCCACATAAGTACTTAAAAACCGACAAGTTGATAATTCATGCCTGAATTTCCTGTTTATGCTCCATTTGCATCTCTTTATCCTTTTGATAAATAAAACAGTAAATCTCTCTCTTCAAAGTACATTAGTAAGGGCAGGCAGTGCTCAGAATTACAAAATTTAATAAAAAACATTCACTGATACTTTTATGTTGTGCTAAAAATAACATTTTTATTCTTCATAAAAAGTTACGATTACACTTGTAAAGGCGCAAAACCATCACTGAACAGGTAGATATTACTTGCACTTGTGGGGTTTTTTGTTAAATGTTTGGGATCCTCTAAAAAGACAATGGTGACAAACACATTTCAGGTTGGACAGTTGTTTCATACTATTTCTCACTGCTCTAATGTTAGCAGAAAAATTTTCTGTAGCTCCTCCTTAAACATGTTTTCTAGATCTGATTGGAAATTGTTTTGTACAGAGCAATTTGGCTAAAACATCTGTCTAAATGTTTCTAATGCTTCTTTTCTTTTTTTCTTTTCTTTTCAATCTATGCTAGGACGTTTTGAATAACTTGGGTTCCTGTGAGTTGGATGAAGATGACCTAATGCTTGACTTGGAGTTCCTGGAAGAGCAACATCACCAGCGTTCTGGTAAGTCAGATAAATGCTGTCTTTAGTGAGGTAATGTTATTCTAGGAATAAAAAGCAAATATGTTCAGTACAATTACTTGGAAATAAAAAGGACTAATTTTCTTGGAAGGAGGAGAGTGGTATTCATTTTTTAGAGTTATTTCTAAATGTGTAATTAATCAGAAAAATGCTGTTTATAAAGCACTTGGACTTCATATGGTCAGTTATGAAATGGTAGTGATTTTTACAGCTACAGAATTTCAGTACCAAGGGCAGACCCATCTGTTTTTTTAAATACTTAAAATGACTGCTGCCTACCCCAGGCACTTAACAAAAGAGCATCGGTGGAATAATTGTGATCACATTTTGTGTGTGCCCAATAATATTTTTCAAATAAAGAAGGTTTGGCTTGAAACATGAGCGTAACTTGATGGTTTCTCTCTTGTTTGGTTAAAGCCTTGTTGCACTGCCTTGATTAATAGCAATAAACTATTGCTGTATACTGTATTTACTACCATTTTATAATAGGATTATGTAAGGTAAGTTGTTGGACCTGTGAAGAGGAATTTCCTTTGCTGGGATGTAGGACAGGAGGGCCTTGTCTGTGAATAGAGGTCCTGCTAACTCAGCAGGATTTGGAGTCTTCAAACCTGTGTGGGACTTGTGCTTGACCCCAGGTACAGTTCTGGGTTTGTACTCTGCTGTGATGCGCTGTTCTGGCAGTGCCAAGAATTTAAGCCCGAGGAATTCTCACTTTCTCTTTTACCTGCTGTTCCCTGATCCCAGTTTCTCCCACATAGATGCCCATAGTGCTCATTCTTGCAGACTCATGTGGAAGTGGGTTTTTTGAGACATTTGCTGGCTGGTGTGGACTATCTTCAGTTCTTGTTTCCTCAAAGATGCAAATTTAGCAATGGTTACAGATAAACTGGTGGAACTGTGGTCCTGTTTGATATTTTCTGTGTTGATTGTTCTCTGAACGTATCTGAATTATCTCTGTGATAATTCTGTGTAACCATTGTGCTGTGCTTATAAACCTGTTTGCATATCTACTTATAGGATGAAACATCTGTTCTGTTTGCTTTGGTAGGGAATGTGGAGGGTTGTAGCAGTAATATGTTCATGATCATACTTTTCTAAATTATTGGAAGCTGGGATGCAATAAATGAACTGCACAGAAAAGGCCCTTTCTAACCGATTCTGAAAAGTGCTATTAACTGTTTACAGAAAGTTGAATGATGAGGAAAGAAATGTGGTTTCAAAAAGCTTCAGAAGCAACCATTGATAAGAAATCATGGGGTTCAGACTTATTTATTCCCTGGACTGGTTGGAAAGGAATTAACTGGCAGAATTTTCCATAAATAAACTTCCCTGATGTGTTGCACTTGGCCTGACCTTTGTTTTCCTTCTTTTTTTCACAAAGCACTGAATTAACAGTGAAATAGAAGTTATGTCCAGTATATGATTTCAAAGATTTTGTTGCAGCTTCTGGAGCAGCTAAAATAATAATGTCTGAGCGACATACTTGATAGAGAAGTAATTAAGATGGAGATGTGATATGACACATAATCTTCCTGCTCTTGGCTCATTATCCAGAGCAAATGAGATGCTTTTAAAACAGAGATCTCCATTGTCATCTGAAGAATGGTCTTCTGAATGACCATTTCTATCCTGAGCAATAAAACAGAGACGCACAATGCAGTATGCACATTTAACACAACACAAATGTGTTTATTTTAGTAATATTTACTCTTTGCTTTTAATTTTTTTGGTGGTAAACCTAGCTGCAAAAAATTTAGAATTTCTCCAGCTGTCACTGTTTTTTAAAGTCATTCACTTGGAAGAAAGATTTGGAAGGGTAGAGCCACAGTATGAAGTTGACTAAAATTTACCAAAAAAGCTGATATCTTTATTTTGCTTGAGGATCTGGCCCAAAACGGTTCATATGGTTGTAAGTCATCACCTTAATTTGTATTAAGGTATTGAGGCAGCGTGCTTGATTTTTAGTGACTTAGCATTTGAATACCACTGGAGTGCATAAAAGCCTTGAACTAGATACTGACATTTAAACACTTGTAACAAATTCCTTTTACTGATTCCTTTGTGAAGTGGCCAACTTGCAGGATTTAAGAAATTTCAACAAAAATTCTTTTCCGTAATTCCAAGTCAATCTGTTCTCTGTTTTCACTTCTGGGTTTGCTTTTTTTTTTTTTTTTTTTTCCCCAAGAGGCATCTCTATTCATACCTAAATAGAATTCTTCTAAACTTTTTCAATTAAATTACATTATCAAATATTTTTGGTGCAATTTTTTCTTCAGGCACCAGAATTCAGAAGTGATCACGTTAAAGACATACAGTTAATTTAATGAAGAGCTTTACACTTTCATAAATCAATCAGATTAAAATTGATCATATTTCTGGGCATGCACATATAAGCTCTTTCAGGTAATTGGGAGGTAATGTATGTTTTTAAAAAGATTTTTAATTCTGATTGCTTCAGAAACAAGAAGACAGCTGATAGCACATGGAGGATGAGCCAGTACTGTTACTGTGGAACAAACTATTCTAATGGAATTTGAATTAAACCAAAGGACTGTTTAATTCTTCCTGGCCTGAAAAGTAGATGATTTTCTGTAATTTTTGCCAATTGCAGGTTTGTTGAACATTTTGTGAAGGCTTCTTTAAAACTATGAGCTTGAGAGTTTACCTATGGCTTGCTTCAGTAAAATTCAGTCAGGACATTTGCAGGTGTATAGATTTGTGAGCCTCCTTTAGTTAGAGGTTAGATGGATGTGCTGTCTCTTCTATAGAAGATTCAGCCCTATATTATGTCAGCTTTACATATTTAATCCATTTTATTGCAGTATTTGTTTGCCTTCCTAACAAGGTCCTCATGTTTCTCTAATACTTGCAGGGGATCTGTGTATCTGACGTTCCACGTGTGTCATATTGAAGTCAGCTGAGAGTTATTGCATGTGTTCTTAGTCTGTTATCAAAATAAAGGTGTTCATGAGTATAAAAATATTGCACAAAATGCTGCTTTTTGAATAGAAACATTAACATTATGCTCTTCTGGAAGTCAAAGGTATTAGCAGTACTGTGACTGTTTGTAGTACAGTAAAAATTCTGTTCATGTTCTGTGAACTGATGCTGACTGCAGCATTTATTTGGTTAAAGCCATCAGCTGTATTGCCATTCACCTGTGCTCCATTTGGCTTTTGGTAAACAATTCTGTGGGGAATTACTATGGGGAGACGTTCCAAGAGAAGCTCTGTTCAGTATTTTAACAAATAGATTGCAATATCAAGTGGTACAATTGGAAAATTATTCAGTTCTTTCTTCATTTGTTATGAGGGATAACTAAGGAATAGCTAGGAATAACTATTCTTTAAAAGGCTATTAAAATTTCTAATGACAAATCACATGAATACAAGGGCTAACATCACATTTCTAACTTGAATATCAAAAATATGTCTTGGTGAGGAGGCTGTATACATCAAGCTGAGTAATTTAGATGTAACAATTCTGAAGGGTACTGCCCCAGTTAATAAACACTGTTGATGAACTGATTAATGGCAAATTGAGAAATTCTCTTAAATGCCATTAGGAGCTCCAGTTTTTTAGAGATTTGTTAGTTAAGACATGATTTACAACAGTTTCTGCTTTTAGGTGCTCTAGTTTAAAGAACAGTATTTGTTAGTGGGAGGATATGTCTCCGACTTTGTACTCAAGCTTACAATATAATACTAATTTTACAAAATAATTGTATTGCATTGATCTAGCATTGATTTAGTGACCATTTATGAATAGAAAATAAGATTATATTGGAAAGATTTGTGGGAGAATTCTCTATTAAGGAGCTTTCAAGAGGAGCTACAAGCTAGTTGGTAGGAAAGGAGATGTTCCAGAACGTGGTATGCTGTGTTAATTAAAATATAGAAATAGAAAGGAGAAAGAGACAAAGATCAGTTGCCTCTTTTGTTGTTTATGGTGGGTTTTATTTATTTATTTATTACTCCAACTCATTTTTCACTTGTGCTCCTGTTCTGTCCCCTCAGCTTTTCCCTAATGAGCTGGTTGCCTTCCAGCAGCATCCTCATGAAATGAGGTTCCTGCAAAAAGGTGCTATAAATCCTTTTGAGTACTAGTGAATTAGCAAATTAAAAAATATCCCTAACTTTTTCTCTAACCATACAACAGAAGCTAAGGAGACACCTGCACACCTCAGGCAGATGCTTCTACTTTGGACATAAATGTCTGTGCTTTGATGGTCTTAGCACAGCTTTAGAAGTCTGGAATTCCCTCACTTGCGACTTTCTGTGAGTTTACTGCTTTAATTTACTACTTTTGCTTCTGTTTTAAAGGCTGTATTGTTGAGACAAAGAATGTAAGACAAAGACATTTTATTATCCTGCCTAACACAATTGCTTTGAAATTTAATAAAATAATATTTATATTGTACTTGGTGAGTGCAGAGCACTACTGCATACAAATTTAAAATATTAATCAATGTGATTTACTGAGAGTTTTGCATACTGGTCTTAAGATGGAGTGCTTAAAATGAAGCATAATATGACATACATGATGAGTCTTGTGGGTGTCTTTTTATTAATCTCGGTAAATTAGACTTTTAAAATATGCTGCAGCTTTGATTTCCGGTTGTAAAATAATGAAGTTAGTGGTTTCTATAGTGGGAAATCATTGCAGGTTTATAGAAAGTGACAGCATTAATTTAACTTCATTCATTTTCCTTTTCCCTTGTGAAACACGATGTATTTGATTCCAGGTATTGATTAGTCAAATGAATGAGGAAGACCTTTATATTCAGTGATAGAAGCAGTGGGGAATTTATTCAAGTAATGCTCGTTAATGTGCGTGAGTTGTGTGCTGGTGTTGTGCTGTAGCCTACTGAAAACTAAGTGGTTCTGTGTGGTTGGTGTTTCATTAAATCAGGACTGCAGTAAACAGTGGCCTTTTCCGAAAGTTCACGACAGCACAGCTATTGAGGGGCTTTGGTAATT